GCTTCATGGCAATGAACGGAGTCAGAACATTTTCACTCAAAATAAGAGCCAGGCCAAATGCTCAAAAACTTGCTGAGAAACTCTGGCTGAATACTGCACTCCATCTGCTAAATGGGACGTGGAGAACAAAAAGAAGTGGGAAGCACAGTGTTTGTCCTATATAGCTTACAAAACAACCATCCTTTTGGTGGAGCCGATAACCTAACACCATTTTAAGTCCAATAGTCTCCAGTCTTGCCTTTAAACAGATTCCTTTCCTCCAAAATTTTACAAATTCATTAAAAAACTATGGTGCAAAAGCATGGGGTAAGGATTTGGAGCACCAGCAAGCAAGGCGAGATATTATCCTTGCTGTAAAAAGCCAACGGTCTCTTCCCAGCCATGCGAAGGATAGGGAAGGTATCACAGCGAGCTTCCCAGAGGCACTTTGGCATACCAGAACCCTCCTCCCAGCCCACAAGACATTCACAGGGTGCCATATAAAGAGCAGTACATTTTCTTTGCCTCTCCAGCAAAGAACTGTCAGGAACTTGGGCTGAAAACTGGGCCAAGACTGAGAACACAGGGGAAAGAAATTGGGTGCAGAAAAATAACTCCTTCTAAACAGCAGTGAAAAATCAGTACTGGAAAGAGTTCTTGCTGCACAGAAATACCATTTCTCACCTGCTTGCAGCTCAGTCGATCGGCAACCAACAAGGAGCACGCAAATGGGAAAGTTCCTGCAATGCGGCTGGATGTGGTATGTGCCAGACAGAGCTGCTCCGCTGCAGTGCCTGCTGCCGTCGCCTGATTGAGGCTCAGGGATACAGATCCCCTCGTGCCACCATGCTCAGCATGGACACGGCACCCTTCCACTGCAAACAGCCCAGAGGTGCATCTGCTGAGGTGTCAGATTCATCCGGGCTCTGCACGCTAAAAGGAGGGCAGGGAGCAGATGGTGGACAGGGGACCGCACACGAGGATCGCCCGGTTAAGCTGGATTGGGGGCTTCTTTGCAGGGAAGTGCCTTTTTGTATCTTGCTCACAGTCATTCGTGAAAGGCATATGGGTTCATGCCTCTCAGTCATACCTTCCTGGCTTGGTCTGCACTGCCTTCTACAACACCCCACTTCTGGAAAGTCAAATAATTCACTTCGTTAATACTGCAGAAGGAGAAAATTTGTGGAACAAGGTAGTCATTTGACCGTAATGACGCAGCTGCCGCTCCAGTCCCTTTCTACAGCTTTACTGAATCACAGAAAATGGGGTAGGAGCATCCAAGGAGGTCACTTTGCCTCCTTTTCCAAGGCAGTTCACCTCCACCCAAGTTGTACCTGAGAGAGCCACCTTTAAATGCTTTTAAAAATCTCCAAGGCTGAAGAGATTCTGCAGAATCGCTAAGGAGGCTGCTTTTAAGTGCTTAACTACCCAAAGGTATGAAGCCTTTCCTGAAGTCTAGTCTTAATCTATTTTGCTGCAATTTATGCCCATTCCTTCCTGTGCTTTTCAGCATAGAGCTGGAGGACAGCTTGTTCTCCTCCTCTCTGCAACAGCTCACTGCATTTTCCCGGAATTTCCTCTAGACTAAAAAGCCCCAGCTCTTCTAGTCCCTTCTTGGAAGTCAGGCTTTTGAGATCTCTGCTCTGTCGCACTGGTCTCCCCTTAACCTTCTTGGGTGTCCTCCACAAAGTGAATACGCGCACCTGCCGATTCACTGGTCTGACCATTAATGAAAACGCTGGTCAGTACCGGCTCGAGAAGAGACCTTGCAGAACCCTTTGCTTCTGCTCAGCACGTCCAGGGTAGTGCCGGTACCGGTGGGTTCCTCCGTCTGCCTCCGTGCAACGTGTCTGGTGCGTAAGGCAGAGACCAGAAGATGGCACAACACAACTGGCACACAACAGGGGCTCAGACCTGCACAAACACGAGCGAACACCCAGCCTGCTGGGTGGGATCACGGTTCCAAAGTCAGCTACTTTCAAACTAAACAAGACCCACAGAGGCGGCAAAAAAAGAAAAGAAAGAAAGGGGGGATGGACACAGCCGGGCCAGGGTCCTTCTCTCTGGGATCTGTGTTGCCTCTTCAGCAGAGCTGAGCTGGTACCACCACGCCTGATAATCCTGGATGCTTGGGTGGCTGCTGCTGCTGCGCTGTGAAGGGCACCAACTCCTGCCAGTGGTGGTGTACAGTTTGTTTATAAAGCACCAGAACCAAAAGGAGCCTGGACAGTGAGAAAACTCAGCTCAGAAGCTCAGGTGTAGCTACAGGACAAAGTCACGTCTCTTCTTTTACACACGTGAGTGCAAGTGCCTGGCAGGACAGGTAGATGGCACTCCAAATAAACGGGTGTGTGGTTAGAAGAGGCAGAGTTCAGGGAATACCCACCCCCTCCCACAAGTTATGGGGCACCAGACCAGGCTGCTCAGCCACCTTACCTGCCTGCTGGGGGCTCTGGTTTGAGGCTGCGGGGGAAGAGTCCCTGCACAGAGAGTGGGGCACTGGGACTGTCCCCAGCAGAACCCCCGTGAGGCCACAGCACACGCTGGGCTAACAGGCTACCTTAGGGCAGCAGTGGCAACCACATGCTTGTTATTTTAATCCCTTCAAATAGAGCCTTGAAAATCTGTTTTTTCACAGTGACTTCTTGGACTAAGTTGCTTCTCCAAACTGGGAGTGCCTTCAGTTTTACTGGGACCATGCGCTCCTCTGCCACGGGCAGTGCTGTGAGCACAGGCCGGGCAGAGAAGTGAAAAAGAAATTCGCACCTCTTGGGTCCCTCTGTGACAAAGGTCCTAAATTTCTCACCGTCATTTCAGGAAAATGTCAAGAAGAAGTGGCACATGGGAAGGCACATTGCCACTGTCACATGCAGGCTCTCCACAGAAACCAGCCCCTGCATCTCCACTTCTCCTCCCGTAGCACCAACCCCTCGGGGAGGCAACACCGTGGCTTCCCAGATGAGCAGCGTTTCTGGTGCTGCAATTCTGCCTCCAAGCAGGAAACTGTTGAGAGCCACTCTTATCCTGCCGTGCCTCCAAGGGCGTGCAAAACAAATGCCATTGTGCCTCTTCCATCCCCCATCAGGTTCAGACACGTTATCCAAGTGCAGCCCCCAGGTCCCTTCTGGCCAGGTGGTGGCAGAGAGCAGACCCAAAACCCCACATCAACAAGGGAACTGATTTCATTATTCTAAAAACAAACAGCCAAAGGAAAGTTCAGGCTAGAATGGGCTCCTAGAGCAAAGAAAGGAAAATAGAGAGCGGGCAGTGGGGAATGCTTCATATTCCTAAAAGCCTTTTGTACGTTAACACATGGTGTCTGCTTCTCTCTAGTCACCTATTTATCACTCTCCTCTTTAGAGAAGGAAAAAAGTCCTGGCTGCCTTCCTAAGGCAGAGTTTTGCGGCCGGGGGGAGGGGGAGGGTGCTTTAAGCATGATGCAAACCATTTGGAGTGCACCGAGAGCACTGCCAACACAAGCTGCACTATTTAAACAAGTGAGGAAATGATCGTATATACAACATGCCAGCGAGCACACACACACCAGAGGAAGTCGAGAGGGGTTTTCATGACACAGAGCTGGATGTCAGCGGCTGAAAGGTCGATATTTTCCCTTAACACCCTTCTCAATGACTTAATCGTGTTCCGTTTGCACAGAAAACTTCCCAAGAATAAAAGTCTGGAGGAATCGAGGGGGGATGTTTGGCCTACTGCTGACCTTGTCCGAGGTCCTCTCCACGTAGCAGGGCTCCTGGGGGGCGACCAGCAGGGGAACGAAGCCCGAGAGCAGCCGATCCTCTTCCAGGCTAAGCAGGGCAAGGTCGTCATCTGGGTCCTTGTACAAGGGCACCTCCGACTGATTCACTGTGGTCAGTATGTTACAGAAGTCAGCCAGCGTCGCCCACACATCTACTGAGACCCTGGGAGAACGAGGAGAGACGTGAGCAATTCGGGGCTGGAATGCGTTGGGAGTTGCCTGCAATGCTGCAGCGAATACCAGAGAGGTGAGGCGAGGCGAGGCACGCCACCACCGCTGCTAACCTACCCCACCGGGAGGGCTCCAGGCACAGCTGCACTGGCACCGAACCCAGGAGGGCTCGTAACCCTCGCCCGCGAGCGCTGACACCGACCACCCCATCCCCCTGGATGGGGAGGGCTCCCAGGATCTCGCCCTTCCCGCTGCTCTGCCCACCTCTGCCCACTCCCGAGCCGGCACATGCACGGGAAGCAGCTTCCCCGTGCAGTGCGGCAGGAACCCAGCTCATTCCAGATGGCAGAAATGCCGCTTATTACTCAATTTCAAAAGCCTGCTGGGAGGACAGACCGATCCCCCGCCCTGCTGTCAGGGCAAAAGCGGTGCCTGGGGGGGGCTCCAGCCCAGCCCAGGGCACCCTCCCCTCCAGCCGGCTGTTATCTGCAAAACTCTCCTTCAGCTGGCTGTTATCTGCTGCAACCACGTGCTGCAGCCACGTGCTGCAGCCATGCTCTAAAGCACAGAGATTTTTTTTTAGTTAAACCCCAGCCATGGGGGGCGTTGAGCCGTGTTTTGCTTCTGACCATGGTTTCAACACTTGCGAGTGACCTCCAAAGCTGCCTCTGCGGTGTCTCACCTTCCCGGAGCGGCAGTGACGTGCAGGGAGACGGGTGCGAACACAAGGCCACCAGCAGCCCTGGACCGCTCTCCCGCGCATCCCCATCACTCATCCTTGTGGCTGAGCACACCCTGGGGAGGGCCCAGCACCCCAGAGAGGGCCAGCACGGGGGAAGCAGGCAACAAGCACGGGAGCCCTGCAGCCTACCACGCTGCCTCATACTGCATTTCTTCCTCCTGTTTCTAAAAGCACTCAGGTAGGGTTTTTTTAAAGCATAAACTGGGACGAACACAGGGAATAGGGGAAACTGGGGCTGATCTGCTTCTTGTGGCAGTAAGGAGGGCTGCTCCTCCACCCCACACCTCTGGGGCACCAGCATCACTGGGGGCACAGCAGTGACCAGCACGGCCCGAGGCAGCCCAGGGCTGGAGGGAGGCCCCCTGCTCTTTGAACTGCTCCAGGTGGACAGAGTCTGCACTCGGTTATTTACGGGAATCAATGTACCAGGAAAGCACACTGAAATGAAACATCTTGTTTTCAAGAGCGTCCTGGGAGCCAGGCAGAATGAGGAGCCATTAATCAAAGCCCGGCACGTAATCAGCACACATGTAACGCAGAGTCGCCCACGTCCCTAAGCCAGCCCCAGCCCGCATGCTGCAGAGGAGAAGAGGTCCTTCAAAGCCCTCTGCACACAGACACCAGGAGCTGGGTTCATTCACAAAGCTCCATCGCTTGGCTCAGCCAGGTCTGGCTGTCAGAAATGTTTAAATATGGAAAAAAATAAACAGTTGCAACACGTTTTTCGGAGGGATCTGTCCGAGGCCCTTTGTGATGTAATGGGAAACGCTGCGTTTGTGCTACCAGCTGGAAAATAAACAGAGCTGCGAGGGTTAAAAGGAACTGAACTTTCCACGACCCCTATCTGCAAAAGAAGAAAATAATAAGAGGAATGATCCACTGCCCCACAGCCCTGATAGTTTATCCTCCGGCCCAGGCTGCAGAGACAAGCACCGGATGTGATAGGGCTGCTCTGGGCCACCTCCAAGGCGAGCTCTGCCCATGGGAGATGCACAGGGCTTGGGAGGCTCAGCCCTCCCCCAGTGCCCTGCTGGCAACTGGGCTGGGCTGCCTGAGTCCGGTCACATAGCAGTGGTGGGGCCCCACCAGCGCGGGCTGCGATGAGGGCTCGGCTTGGATGAAGGAGGTGCAGAGGCTGCAGGCATCGATGGGGGAGAGGAACAGGGAGAGCGCCTGCAGCCGCCGGGGAACGAGCACGCTGGGGTGATGGGGACAGGCACCGATGCCGAGGATGTTCCCAGGGGGCCGAGACAGCCAGGTGCACGGGGCCAGGGTGGAGGAGAAGGGGCAGAAACACATTGCAGAGACCTTGCCTGTATTCCCCAAGAAACAGAGCTGCAGGCAGGGGATGGAGGTGACCAGTGAGGGTGGGAGGGAGGCAGAGGGCAGCGGCAGAACACTGGGCAGGACTGGGATCCACAGCAGGGCAGGGGTGGTAGTGGGATGAAGGAGCAGCACAGATGAAGTACAGGGAGCCATCTCCCTCCATGGGGCTTGGCACCCGAAGTCAGAAAAATGCCATGTGAACAGTCACCGAGCGGATGCTGCTAACACCCTTGCAGCCACCCAGCCCAGCGGTCCCCTCTCCTCTCCTCTCCCCCTGCGGCTGCCTGCCCCCAGCCTGCAGCCCCTCCGGCAGCGCTGCCAGGCAGGGCAGCCCATCACAACCCCAAGCGCAAGAGCAGTCCCTGTCACTTTATCCCCTTCATCCCCAGCTCCCTACAGCTTCGCAGTGCCTTGCCACATCTGTCATTCGCACTGGATGTGTTAGGTTTCCACCCTGGGCTTCCTTCAGTCAAACCACAGACTGTGTTGACTCCCTGGGTAGCAAGATCTCACTGTAATGCAATCCCGAGCAGCTCTGAGGCAGCAGCCGGCAGCTGGGCAGCACCCTCTCACATGCAGCACCCTGCAGAGCCTTCAAAAAGCCAACAAAGAAGGTGGTGTTGGCGTTTCTGCTCTGGTTTTCTCCTGCAACACAGAGGCAGCACCGCAGAGAGCGGGTCTGACAATTTTCTGTCTTCCCCTCGGGTACAGCTCCTCCTCTGCAGTGCATCTCCCAGCACTGACACCACCAAGATCATTTACCGGCTGCTACCCACCAGCAAAGCCAGCAAGGGCTAACAGCTCATGCTGACACCATACGGCCCTGTGGATCTCCTGCTGGGACGTACACTCGCCTTAGAAGGTCGCACAACACTCAGGAACCCTGTCAGGTGCCTTCTCCCCACTGCCCCTTCCCAGGACGCCGCCGCAGCCACCTCCAGGCGTTTCTGGCTTATGTCACCCAACATAAGCTGAGGTGCTGCGGCGCCGGAGCCTCTCTGCAAAGCCAAGGCAGGCCCAGGTGCCTGGAAGCGCTGCGTACACACAGTGCCACGGCTTCAGCATCCCTCTGCAGAGGGAGGCCCCAAATTACTGACACCGAGCCCAGGCACGCAACTCCCAGGTACAGGGACGAGGCTCCCAGAGCTTTTAACCGAGGAAGCGAGAAGGGGGTTAGCGCGAGGTCTTTCCTCAGAACGGGGGTTCATTCACTTCCCCACAGACACATTTACATTTGCTTATTCCACTAGGACAGGAAAAAAAAATAAGAGTTAATTTCTTTTTTATTGCCTCAAGATTCCAGGTTTAATGTAGCTGTCAGTGTGAGCACAGCCCAGCTGCACGCCGACAGGACGCAGCCCGGCCAGGCGACGGTGAGAGCACTGCACAAGTGCGCAGCCGAGCGCGCAGGCTGGAGCGCGGCCCCGGGGCAGAGTGCGGCCCCGGTGAGGCCAAGTCTGCGCGGGGACGGCTCCTGGCAAAGACGGATGCCCATGATGGGCATGCATCACCACAAGGCAAAAAGGCACGCACCAAAGCGTGGGGAGAGCAGAGAGAGCCAGGGTGAGCCTGACGCTCACCGAACCCCCGCCGGCCACGGTGCTGTGCGGCGCTCTGGCGTGAGCCACCATCTTCACCGGGGGCGCGGGCTGCCTGGTGATTAATATCAAGCACAATGACCCCATGTTACAAGCCTGCGGGGGCCTGTGGAGGTGGCCATTTCCTGTGTAATACCAGCTTGTTTAAACACTAACATTCAAACTCCACAGCTGCAGAACAAACCCGGAAAGCGCGGCGCAGAAGAAGCCCTGCATTGTGTTCCCCAGCCGCCAAGAGCCGCGCTGCCGTGCAGATGGCAAATGCCTCGGGCTCGCGTGCTCCCAGGGCCAGGCGACGCGCACCCACCAGCTCCCGGTGCGAGGCGGCACGGGTGCCCACCCCAGCTCCTGCACTGCTGTACAAAGTGCTCTGCATCCCCCTCCTGGGTTTTCTCTCTCCCGGCCCAGGGGAAGCCGAACTAAAAGCAGCAACTCTGCAAGGAACAAAAGGGGTTGGCGGTGGGAGCTCTTCCCAAAAGGCGTTCACCAACCTCGCCCTGGACTCAGACACAGCTGCCCGGAGCGGGGACGAGTTGGTCACAGCCCCTCTGCCCCGTGGCACCAACGATTTCCCCCACTCTGCCCTGCACGCGGTCCCTTTGGCCAGTCGGGCATCCATAAACCCATTCCTCTCCCAGGAACCTGCCTTTGGAGTTAGAGGGATGCTCTCCTCCCCGGGAGAGGTGCAGTCTCCTCCCAGCCAGCCTCTGCTTCGCCACAGCCCCTTCTCCACAGAGACTTTTGGCTTCTGCTTCGCTCGACTTTACCTTCATTCTCAGCCAGGTTTACACTACCGAGACACCTCTGAATCCTCGCTTTGATGTCTCGATAGGGAAACTCTGGTGGCCAGCATTACTAACTAAGGCTGAGATCTGCAAAAGGGATTTTCCATTTAGCCTCCAGCAAACTCCAGCAAGGTCTTGGCACCCCTGTCCAAGACTCTGTCCATCTCTCCCAGTGGGAGCTGCCATCTCAGTGACACTTCTCCGCAAGAGCGATGTGATGAGAGCGATCTGGCAGATCTCTCTGAGAAGGTAAGCTCTAGAATGTGCTCAGAGCTTTTGGATTTAATTTAATACTTGGTTTAAATTAACCATTTTTAAATGCTTGCAGACAGCCTCCACAAACCGAGAGGCCCTTCGCTCCAGTGTGGAAGGAGCACAGATTCACCAGAGTCAGACCTGCGGCAGTTTGTCTGTCTAGCCAGTGGCTTCCCCATCGATTCTTGCACTTCGTTTAGCAATGGATTCATTGCAGCAACAAGGTAGAGCAAGGAGAAGCTTTGCTCTCCTGTGCCCGGCCCTCTTCACCCATCTCAGCTCTTCAGCCGTATGTCCCAAAAGGAGATGGATTCACTTGAATGACAGCAGCCTCCTTGGAGATCTGCCTTTCGCCCCATCTGCTGCTAATCTCTCTGCCTTAGGAAATCCACCCTGCTCCCCTCTCCCCAAGACTCCCTGCTTTTACCCCCCAATCTCTGCAAATTACTCCCGGGGACAGCTGGTCTGAAAGACGCTGCTCCAACCCAGTTGCACGGCAATGCCACTGCTTTAAACGACCGCCTGCTCAGACCCCAACACAATGTTTGCCATGAAACATGCAGATATAAATTAATTTTAAGATACAGAAGTGACTGTTGCTTGCTGCTAAAAGACCTGGGAACACCTGGTCCAGACACACAATCCCTGAGCCACAGGACACTGCTGCTGTGAAGCAGAGATGACCATGGTCAGGTTTAGCTCCTGGAAACACCTGAGAAAAGAGCCACAATAAACTCACTGAGCCCCTCTCCCAAATAGATGGAGGGGAAGGATACCCCCTGCCTCTCAAATATACACAGCAGCCCCAAGAGAGGGATCTAGGCAGCCTGTCACCTCTCCATGGCCTTCTGGCCTGAAAACATGTCCCAGCGCATGCCCTGAGCCACGGTGACCGTGCAGGTGTGGCTAAGAGCTGGATGAATGTGCCAGAGCAAGGAGGGTGGTTTTGGGGAAAGGTGTATCTCCTCGTTCAGGTTGAATTCAGGACCACTGAGCCCCCAGCTAGGGAGAGGATGCCTGCCAGGAGCTGGGGTTCATTCCCAAGCCCCCGCCAAGAAAAGGACCCCAAAGACGCAGCCTCCCGAGCCTCCCATCCTACTCTGCAGAGCCCACTCCTGCATGGCTCGCAGCCGCGCGCCGGGTTTCGGCAGCGCTCACCCCTCACACCTTTCCCTCCGCCTCTGTCCAAGGGGGAAAGCAGCAAGCTGAGGAATTTGGTGTGGGTTTTGTTTTTTTGGGTTGTTTTTTTTTTTTTTATTGTAAGGACTCAAATCCAGCAGTGTGATAAATGCATCCGAGCTACAATTAGGAAGATATATAGCATCAGAATGCGAAGGTCTGGGCAGCGTGGTGAAACGCGGGCTCTCCAGAGCCCCAGCTATGTTTCCCATTATGTAACCCTGGTCATGGGCAGACAGCCAGACTCCAAATGAAAAAGAGACTCTGGCTTGGCACCGTTTCTATTTTCCTATCCTCATTCGGGGTCAGCGCAGTGTCATACAGCTGCAGAGAAAGCTCCGGGGATTAAACCTGGGAAAGACTCCAAGACCAGGACCCGGGTTCAAGTACCAGCTGAAAGCAATAAACCAACTGCCACAGCTGGGCTGAGTTTAGACGTTCTCAAAGTCCCCCAGCTCTCTCCCTCACTAAGAACGAGCAATCGTGAACATGGCGAACGCAGCGTGAGCGGAGGCCTCGGGATGTATAGCCCCAGCAGCCCGGGCCCTAGGCTCTGGCGGAGTCTTGACAAGCTGTCCCGCTGGCCCCAAGCCCAGGCCGTCATTCTGGCAGCGGCGCTGGCCCCGGACGAGCTGCACTTTGATGCAAGCTCTGGGCCAGGCCTTTGCTCCTAGGGGGGCTGCCAGGTGGGTACGGGACCTAGTTTTTCCAGAAGATTTAAGCACATTAATGGCATCCTTGCAGGGTGCTTCTGTGCTTCAGAGCTTTTTTTACTGTCCCTTTTCTGTGCCCACACCATCACGAGGGGCAATGAAAGCGATGGCTGCAAAGCGTTGGGAAGCAGTTTCAGCGTGTCCAACCAGCTTCTCCATTGGCACTGGTGGGGACTTCGCAGCACGTCCCACTGCCGTGAGGCACAGAGCACATGTGAAACGGCACAGGCCCTTCACTCAGTTCTCCAACTTGGCATCTGCACTTGCTCCTCGCATGCTCTCCCCGCTCCTGTGCTCACCCTGCCCATAAACCTTGGCTTACTCCAACACGCCTGCTGCTCTGACCCATGTTTTACTTCTAAACTTCTTTGAAGCTGCTCCTATCTAAACCCCTGGACTCGGTGACTCTACCTGGTTACTGAACAGCCCCAGGCCAGACAGCAGGCTTGTGTCAATAGAGAGCTGAAACAGTAACCCAGTGCTCCCCTTTTCCTTTCCCACCTCTAGGGAAAACGTTGCAAGTCCCAGGTCGTGCCCAGGAGCAGAGCTAGTTCCCTGCTACTCATCACTACCCGCACACCTCCAGGGAAGCTCAGCTGCTGCTGTCCCGGAGTCCTGGGCCGCCAACACCCGGCCACGCAATGCTGGGTCAACACAAGAGGTCTGGGCTGAAAAAGCAGCCCATCTCCTCGCCGTGGATAAGGCAGATGCTCCTGGTGAGCCAAAGAGCACCAGGGTGGAGGAGCTGGGAGCCAACATGAGGAAGGCTGCCCATGCCGCAGAGTAAGGGCACGGATGGGACAAGAGGGGCTGCTCAGCCACCTTCCGTGGAGAGGGCAAGGTGGGGAAGCGGTTGGGCCTCTGCTGCAAGATGAAGACCCTTCTTCCTCCACCGAGCAGACCAGGACCTTGCCGAGTAGAGCCCCCCAACCCATACCCACTGCTCCCCAAAGAGCCACGCGCTGCCGTGCCACGGGGTGGGCTGCCACCACCGCCTTCTCCCGCCTCGACGGGCAAGCGGGAGCCCGCACCTGCTCCGGCAGCCCGGGGGGACACAGCCCCACGCCCCGCAGGAGGGGAGGCAGCTCGTCCCGGGGAAGGCGCCGAGCGCTGGCTGCGCGAACCCAATCAGAAATTCCATCTCGAGGCTGCCCGTCGCCAAGGGCTCAGCGGCTCCCTGCGCAGGCAGCGCGAGGGGAAGGGGGGATTGGTGCACGCGCTTTCACGTGACAGATCCCAGTTTGAGTTCCTGCCCAAAGATGGGCAGCAGTTCACATGAGCAGGCAGCGGTCCCACACCGAGCAGCCGACAAACAGAAAACAGACTCCATCTCCACAAAATGAGGCCCAGAACTTCCTGTGTGAGATTTCCATTTCCTCAGCCAAATGAAAAAGAACTGGAGTAAGAGGCAATAAACTAGGAGAGCAGGACTGGACCTGACGCACGGAGCGGGGACCCATTAATGGTTAAGCCACTTTGCTGGATTACTCTTAATGCGCCTTCCCATCACCCTGGGTTCTGGCTCCTTTGGATTAACAATAAGACGTGATTTCAGGCTCTGGATCCGGAGTACCAGAGGCAGATGGAAAATCCTGCGGGAAAGCAGCTACGGAGCATGCTCAGACACTGTTTCGCATACTCCATACTTGGCCCCTTCACTCGATTTTCTGTCCAAAAATATGCAAATTGCCTAGTCCGCATTATGGACTAATGGGCTGGAATCGGCCAGTTTAGAAAATTAACCCTTTTGTGTGTTGCAGGGGTAGAGACAAGCTGTTTCTGAAGCAGAAGGGAGGCGACTTTTGGAGCTCCAGGAACAGGCAAGCTGCTCCAGGCCAGCCCAGCCTGACCAAGGTTGGCCCGATTCAGTCAAAAAAAGGCAACAAAACGCTTATGCTGGAAATGGACTTCCCTCTTGCAGAGAGGAAGGTCCTGCCTGTTCAGCTGGCTGGGCCAGCAGAGCATATAAAGGAGACGTATCCCAACAAGAGCAGACGCACATCCTAAGCGGAAGGTAAAAATCCAGCTCATGAGCCATCTTCTAACACATGGTAGCAAAGGGCACCCGCCAGGACCCCTCAGAGTCACTTCAGCCCCACCCACGCATCAATGAAGAAGTCACTGTGTCACCAAGGGTGACAGGTCCCCCCCAAACATTCCCCGCGCAGTGAGTCTCTCCTGGGTGCTCAGGTCAGAGTGCCACAGCCAGGAGTAAGCATGAGCGAGGGGGAAAGGTGGCACAAGGAGCCCAGGGAGGGAGCGGACACCAGAAGACAGACCAGAGGATGCACGTACTGTTTGGGGAGCTCGAGAGAGGTCGGAGGAGGATTCCAGGTGTCCGGGTGGCCAAGCATCCAGTCCGACCAGACCTTCACACTGGGGAGCAGCTCCTTCAGGTCCTGGGGCAAGGCAGAGACCTTGATGTCGTCCTCCTCATCCTCCTGCTCCACCTCTTGTGGCTGAACTGCAAATACAAGACGTGAGGGCTGAAGCAGCTCACCGCAGCCAGGAGCCAGGCTCAGGCAGGGACTGAGGATGCACAACACAGATCCCAACATCCCAGCCTTGGACGCACAAGGGGCCAGCCACAACCCACAGCAAGCACAAAGACAGATCTGTTCTCCC